ATATATATATTTTTTTTTTTTTCTACGAATGATCGGAAATCTATTGGTTTTCTCTACGTAGCGTATATGTACAATGTGTATGTATTGTGGACTCGTGCAAAAAAAGAGATAAACAAAACTAGAGGTGAGAACGCGATAGACGGGCCTTGTAAATGTTTATACTATTAATTTGAAAGTCGAGTCGCGAATCGAAATCTCGACGTGAATGCAAAGTAGCCGAACAGGTGCAACAAAAGAAGGGATGGAGGAGCCAGAGAAAAATCATATATACATACACTTATTTACATGTTACTCTTCTTCACAATGGTTATTTGTTCGCTCAATATGCAAATACCACAACAATATACGTGCACATAATATTTCTTCTTTTCTTCCTCGACGACCAATACCTTACCGTAATCATTTATATGTGAGTAAATGTGGTCAACTATACATGTGTTTTTAGTAAACATTAAAATGAGTCGGATAACTAAAAATACGCCGTCACCGGCGACTAAGTACGACAATGACGATAAATTATACAGAGAGAGAGAGAGAGAGAGGGAACGGTGCCAAGTATCTTTTAAACGGCGCAGCAATTATTATTTACTGGTTCAACGCGTCCTTTGTTATAATGCTTTTTTTTTTTTTTTTTTTTTTTTTTTTTTTTACTCCAGTGTGTAGGTGTTGGTCATAATCTTGAGTCGTAAAATGGAGGGAACAATAATAATTGAAAATAAATAATGCTTGTTTATGCTTTCACACCATAAAAGACACAATATATGACTCGTGCAGGACGTAATCCTTGTGGTAAGAAGTGACATTTTGTGACAAAGTAAAATATCATCTCTAAAAATGACAAATGACGTATATTTAAAGATTTAGTTAACACCAACACTGTATATATTTAAAGTTCATGCATGGTCAAGAAAAATCGTAAATCTTCAAAATTTTATTTTTCAATCATTTTTTTTTCATATTTCAAATGAATGGTAAAGCAAAAAAAATGAGCAAACTTATTAATGTTATTGTTTTTGCTCAATGAATCCAAGGTTATTATTCTGTACTCGCATTTTCATTTCTTTCATACGCTTTGTGAACCAATAAATAATAAGATGTGTATTTCAAAGTAATTAAAGATTTTATAGGTTTGCAGTGAAAGCACACATTTACGTAGTGATTTTTGGATTCACGGATAAAAATGTTATTTCAAAAGTTGGGCTAAGAATAATTTAATTCCAAGAACAACCGAGATCTTGGTTTAATGAAGTAATTATGATGATAAAAATGATGCAAAAATACCTCTCCCGTTTTCGGCTCAGTTTTAAAGCCCCAGTTGTAGTCGGTGATCTGCATGATGGGTGCCATCAGGGGCATGTCTGTGAGAAAAAACATCTCCTCCTTGCCCGCTTCGAGCAAAAGTACCTTCCACTCGGCGACGCTGCTCAGTCTATTGGCTAAAACGGAGCCACCCGAGCCCGCACCGATTATTATAAAGTCGTACTCGTCCGCACCAGCTAGGCTGCACAGTGCCAACCAAACCACAACTTTTCGGACCACTTTGACACTATACATACTGATTATATTTTTCTTCTTCCTTTTTTATTCAACTATTCAGTCGAATCTCACATGTTTATAATGGAATACAAAAATGGCCCTACGCGGTTCTCTGCAGTGCCTTTTTAGTTCCTGCAATCGTGAGATACACACAGAGTTTTTTTGTTCTGCACTACTTTACACTATTTGCATGCATAGTGGATACAAGCTGTAACTATAATATGCTTATTTTGTACGTACGAGTAGAGCAATAATAAATAAAAATGGTATACTTAAAAAAAAAATGGTATACTTAATAAAAGTATACAACTTATAATATTATTGTGCCATTGAATGTAATTTTAAACGCAGTGTAGGTGAAATTTTTATCTACAAAGCAAATTAAATGGCAAAGCCCTCCATAAGAAACTTTGCACAGATCAACTTCCAAAGAAGTTGATGATGAAAAAAATGGGAGCAACGAAATGAATAAGTTACATTATTTTCGTCAAGCCGATTTTCCTCGTTTTTCCTCGTACAATCGAATTTGGGCTCAACATTTATACATCCGATTCGAGTGAATAATTTGGACCTATTCTCCGAGAGGGGCCATCCGGCGGCCCAATTACTTAACGTCCCGAGACGCCCGACCCGATCCACCGATAGCCGATTTGAAACTGCTCGCGCGCGACACCTCTCCCCGCGAGACGCGCGCCCGCGACCACGCAACATCCCGCGCGCGTTATTCAATACCTCGGAGAGGTGAAGGGGATCTGGTTCGTTTTTTTGGCGATTTTATAATTTCGATCTCCCACATGGTTTTCGGACACTCGCATTGAAATACACCAGAGTTTTTTTACGATTACACCGGTTATTGTGCATTGTCTGTTTATTCGGAAAAATTGCCATCCTGCACATGTACCTTTGATTTTATTTATCCATACATATTTGCCGATTTTTTATTTCTTATTATATTAAATTTTATTTTCTTTCAATTACTGTGAATTTGATCATTGTGCGGTTCTTGAAAAATATTGTGCAATAAACTATTTTATCCTTACTTTCATACGATGCCTATACGTACACGCGAAGTTGATTCAATGAAATAAACGCACCGTGTGCCGGATAATATTACTTGGGGCTTAAACTTTTACGCCATTGTTTATACAAATGACACAAAAAGTTACGAAATCGTAAATGCCTAGCTGAAACAAATATATTGGGAAAAAATAAAGCCCGATGCTGGTTGAGGGGTACTTTTTGTCTTTAAAATTAATTTGCTTCCTTTTCATGGATATTTACTTCTATATAAATGTGAAAAAGTTTTAATTATATTAATGATGACAATGATTATACAAAAAAAAAAAAAAAATAAATAAATAAACTCCAAAAGCGTGAAAAAATGCGATAATAGGTACTTATAGAGGGTCTTGACGCTTTGCAAAACGTTTCGAAATCATCTTATCGTGCAGCTACTTGCCGGTCACCTACTTATTGTGTTAATATCATGACACAATGACATCAATATAGTAATATAATTGACACAGAATAGTAATATTAATAACAATCGTGCAATAGACTTTGGTGCGAAAAAAAGAAATGTTTGGCGGAATGTATCAGTTGTATGAACTTTTTGGTTTTTTCCGAAATTCCATAGACTATTGAGTAATCGAAACTTGATTCTTGACATGTAACAAGCTGATTCCGATCCGAAGGTCAATTCAATGCCAAATTCTTTGCCTACTAATACTAAAATTCAATTTTTTTTTTTCTGCCAGCGGCATCAGTAACAGTAACAGAAGCAGTAGTATGGCCAAATTATCGAGAACCCTTTCACAACAAGAGGCAACCTTCACTTTCTGGCGACATTGGAACGTAAGAGAAAATTTCCAAGCGCGAAACTGGTCGATCTTGCTCGTCGTGATCGTTAAAGAGATAAAAGTGGAAACGCCGTAAGGAGCTGCTCTGCCAGTGACCCACATTCTCGTGCGCAACACTTACTTAATATTCAGCTAATGATGACAAAGTTTTGGAAACGAACATGTGGGGATAAATATCTAATGCGTTTGACGTGATTGTAAAATAATCATTTTATTTTAGCAGAAGCATAACACTGACCGAAAATATAACGTTTATCATAAGTTGTAAATTTTATTACTTGTTATTAGGCACGACTACTTCACAGGAGTACCTAATATAATTATTAAAACAAAAAACGTACACTTAGTCAATAAAAAAAATTTGAACCTAAAATGCGGGTGATCAGAACAATACACACTAGTAAATGCAAATAAATACACATACAAATATTTTTATGTGCATCCTTAAATCGACTATCTAAAAAAATTTACATCTGATCATTGTAACTTTATTCATACCACAATTTTATGCATCCAAATCCAATAAGTTTTATAAAAGAAAAAAAATTCACGAGCCCTAAAGCTGCAGAATTTTGTAAATAAAAAATCAGAATTTTGTATGTAACTTTCCTAAGCAAAAAAGTTGTAAATCTTAAAAAAACGTTAAATTTTATCAGTTTAGCTGAATTGAAAAAAATTATTTTATTTTTTTTTGCTAGATTTGAAAAACTGGAAGTCTTTGGGCTCAAGGGGCAGTTGTAGAGAAAAATATGTTTTTTACCGTTTCAACTTATTCTTAGTTTTAAAAATAAAAGAAAGCCTCTTATAATCCCCAAAAAATCAACTGTTTTGCCATTACTTTTACAGCTTACGCTTTAGGCCTATTTATAATTGTGGTAGGTTGAGTTAAAAAAAAAAAAAAAAAAAAAAAAATGCAACGAATTACTGTCTGGTGTAAGGTGTATTTCACAATTTTTGCTCTAGTAATAAAAGTAGCAGTCGTGCCTAAAAAGAAAAAATTTGATTTTTTCCATAAATTGAGCAACTTGCTTTTTTACATTTCTGAAAACGTGATTCTAAATTAATTAAAGACAACAGATATATACGTATACGTAGGTACATTAACCATGTGTAACCAATTATAATATTCTTAATAAACATTTGATTAAAGTTTATTATTTAATAACAAACTATACAGATACCGTATCGCTTTTTGTCGTACGTAATTGATGTACGATATGTTATTCTTGATTTTTCACTTCTTTAGCAACATTGAAAAAATATATAAACTGTCTATTGACATTTCAAGAAATTCGCTCGCGAATAACAATATCGTTTTAAAAACAAATATTGAGTCACAGTAGTCAAATTTAGTCTAAGGTGATGGGCTCTTACAGGTTGTAGGTTTTTTTTTTCACTCAGATACACCGAATTTAAATACCGGCCCACAACCAGACTAGCACCGATGTGAAATCACTTTTTTACTTCAATCATTGTCCCATAGTTCGGAAGCCATGTAAAATATCGATCCCAATTGCTGCGTATCTGATTGATTCACAGTAAATCAGAGGCTGCTTTTGAAGCCAAGGAGAATAACAAGTAAATGCATGATTCTTGAGAGAACCTCGAAACGTCTGTAATATATTGTTTAAGAATACTGACGTGCAATCATTGAGAATAATAGCTTTTGTTTTTCTGAGCATGCAGAGCTAACTGCACTCTCAATTCGACGCATGTGTCTTTTTCTTCAACTATACTGCGAATAAGAGTTGTCATTTTTTTCTAAAACACATAAAACGTATGAAGAATAATTTTTGTATAATTTTCAATAAAATTTATGGGGGAACTCTGCCCGACGCACCCTAGACATTTTTGCAATAATAGGTGAGTATTTTAAGTGATCGTGCCAAAACACACCTCGTAATTGACCGAGTTCCCACAACGATATGGCTAAAGAATTTCAAAAACTCTGACATCTTAGAGATGCTGACTTTATTATTTTGCGCTCTTCTAATACTACTTTGATATCTGGATATATGAGAGATTTCTCGAATAAAAGTTAGCCATCTACCTATTACCGAATTATCACCAAAGTTCATTTGGTGGGGTGCGAAGGGAGAGTTACCATACATACTAGACAAAAAAAAACAAAAACCAATTACCTCCAACAATTGGTTTTCGCTGACTAGCTGATTCATAGCCGTCCTCTCTGCCTCACTGGGACTGTGCAGCCGATCGACGACTAACGGCTTTGGCTTTGCCGTGGTCATCCGCTCTGCCAACAACTCGGTTAGTCTATCGATCTCATGTCGTTCCTGCATTATGCGCGTCTTTAATGAAGCATGAATATTCAGCAACTCAGCATAAATCAAACTCTCTCTCAGCCTATCAAGCTTATTTTCCTCTAATGGGTCCTCTAACTTTTCCGGTTCAGCTTGTTGCACTTGTTGTATCTGTTGTTGTTGTTGCGTTATTGGTGCTAAAAGATGATGAAAAAATAAAATAAAATAAACTAAATAGGCCCTACTTGCTACCATTTTATAATATAAGCATGTGGTTTTCATTACCAGCGCTTAGTTCCCCAGTTTTATCGATACCGGCCTGCTGTACGTTATGCAGCGATTCGGTCTTACAATCGCTTACAGTATCCGTCGATACATTTGACTTGTCAACTGCTACACATCTTTCGGTAGATAAAGCCGATTGACAACGATTTTCAGTGAATGTTCGCGTATTGCATGCTTCTTTTGATGCATCTACGACTTTTAAATGATCGCTCTCGCTCTTGAGAGAGTTCACTATTAGTTGTTCCGGTAAATGCACTTGATTTGATTCGCTTTGTTTGGGCTGTTGTACCTCTTCCTCGAAACTCTTTTTTTCTACCGATCCTTCCAACTTTTGTACTAATTTATACTTTCTCTGCAAATGAGAGGCAAACGTTTAAAGCAAACTACCTCGTACATCCAATTTATAATTACAGATATAATGTAGGAAAAAAAGTACCTTTAACTGGGTGATCATACGCTGAACCTCCCAAAGTTGCTCTTCGCGCGATTTATTAACATAGCCAGCGTTCATAAGCATGTGAATTTGCGATAGCAAAGACTCTTGCTTGGCCAATTCCTCGGCAATGCCTTGAGCTGTGTCAGGAATATGGGTACTGCCGGGTGGCAGCGGCGGCACATACTTTGTTAGCTTTACAGTTGGAAACATGGCTTTGCAATGCAACAGGAGAGCTAGGAGAAGCCGGTGACTCATTTGCAATGCTGGGCTTAACGTCATGGCTATCGTCTGCGCGTTCATCTTTGTCGTTTTTTCCTAGTAATTTATCCAGAATTAAATCAAACAAGACACGCAAGTTGTTACATTTTTTTTGAACCCGTGAAAATTTGATAAAACTTACGCAAGCTGTGACGTGATCTAAATGCAAAGTCATCCAAGCCAACAGCACTCGATTGCATTTCGATAACTGCTGATTTGCTAAATCAGCCAGTTGAGATTCTCTCTGGCCAAGTTCCTTGGTTGATGCTGCTTGTTCGAACCGCGATATTAGTTCACTGCTCTCCAGTATCGGTTCTGGAAGTTCCCTGTGTATAGGAAGATAAAAACAACCCAATTTTAACAACAGTCATTAATTCAGAGAAATTTTTTTCCACTACTAACTTGAAAAAAAGTAACAACAAACTAGTAGCTACTGTTGGTTCGAATTCTGATAAATTGACTGGTTCTCGTTGATTGTATAACTTTTTCAAGTGTTGAACTTTTGACTTGTTTCCCGGGACTTTATACAGTTCTTCAAAGGACATTCCATGTTCCTCTAAATAGTCGATGCAGTCTCTCACGATTAATGGCAACTCGACACCATCGTGGCACCGACTCCTTTCGACTGCCAAATGAAGACTGACTCCAAAAATCTCCTCATCTAAGAAAAAGTTTTCCAAAATAATCGAGGCAACCTTTGAGAAACATTACAAGTAGTTTAAAGTTTAACACAAACCACATATTTCAGAGGCATCATCCCCATGTTTTCCTTTCTTCCGATCTTTATTCTTTTGTTTGGCTTTATCCTTTTCTTTTCGCTTGTCTTTGTCACCATCTTTCTCGGCTTCCTTATCTTTCTTCTTTTTATCTTTGTCAGAGTCTTTTTCCTTAACATCTTTTTCCCTAGATTTCTCTCTCTTCTCTCTACTCTTACTGGGAAACTTAAAGGCTTTCGTTTTAGACTTTGATTTTGAAGGGCTCCTAAAAATTAAGTGATATAAAATGGATAAAACAAAATTGATCAACATGTAAATTTGGAATGTATGGATTTACTTTGTTTCCTCCTCATCGACCGAACTTTCTCCTTCTAAGGTAGCGTATCCTCTGTCCTTTTTATCTTTTTTATCCTTCTTCTTGCCTCCTAGAAGCTCCTTTTTCGAATGTTTATCGTGCACACCGTCGTCACTGACTGCAAAAAATAATGTTTATCATTGAAACTCGCACATCACTCTAATTACCAACTGTTATCCACTGTTTTACCAATACCAATAGAAAAAGCAAAATAGTGATGAAGTAAAGGAAGCAAAGTGAAAACAACAAATGCTGGAAGAAGCAAGAAAAATAGAAAGAAACCAAACCATAGGAGATGTGCGACACAAATAAACATAAAGAAATCGTATTTTCTATTTACCATGCATGGCCTATTGCTTAACATATAATCAGTATTAATTCATTCAAAAGAGGTAGAGGAGATGATCATTTAAAGTGGAGAGCACAGCATCTTTTTATGTATTTATCACTGGGATTCACTACCCTAACAGAGAAAAATTGATAAGTTGTAGGAAATTTTTACCAAAACAAAATTTTTGTTAAATCAGAAAAGTAAGAGATATTAGGATATAATTGCAAGAACATTGAACCACATCTGTGTGGCCTTAACATGTATTTTCATAATAAACTGTGGAAAAAAAAATGAATAAAAATAGTTAAGAACAGGTGAATAGGCTACTTGGTTGAATAAATAAATTAAGCATAACTTGGCAGCGGTTTCTACCAAACTTACAATCGCTCTCGCTTTTCTTGGCTGTGTCAGACGCGTAAAGTCCAGGAAACTCTTTTGAAACGTCAGGGCTTTCAAAGTCCATTGTCTGATCTTCAGCACTTGTTCACTCTGGGGCCACTTGCACCAATACTCAACCTACAACAAAGCAACAGCACACTGTTTGTTAAACGTAATAAAAAAATTAACTCAACAGCAAATAAAATGATTAACACATGATTGAATCACACCAGACACGCCTGTAAGTATAGGTACAGCTTGTAAGTATAAGTAAGTGTTGACACCAATGTTTTAGTCGATGTCCATCGACGCCGCCTACAATCTACATAAGTAGGTACTTGTACACAGGATATTATTATAATCTGATGTGATTATTGTGTTTTTTTATTTATTAAGAAGACTGTAAATCTTGAGACCATTTAGATACTAATCATTAAAATACGAAGGAAAACACACGAGAGTTCGATACATTAACATTAGCCCTGATTACACGAGCTGTCGGCTGCTGTGTTGAGTTATGCATGGTGCAAAGTTTGCACTGCAAACCCCTGCATCTGCCTGCATGTATAGGGAGGAATCCGCAATCAATCAGTAAATCGATATTAGATTTGTTCAAGCCCTTTTTACCTATATATAGGTGTATTTTGTTAAGAGAACCGAACCGAACCAAAAGGAGCTTGAACGAACCCACATTCATCCCCAAACCACCCAACGTGGTCACGATGTAAATAACGATCACGTCACGTATAATGATGTAATATAACTGGCTGCCGTGTGTTCCAGTAGCGCTCTCCGACAACTTACCGACAACTTAAACATGACGCAAGATGTCGTAAGACATAATTAAGTTGTCGGTAAGTTGTCGGAGAGCATTACTGGAACACACCCCTGGGGCTCTATCACGACCTTCGATATCTCGCAGTCAGTATTTTTTTCGATAATTTACATAAAATTATGGTTGTGCGCATGCGCAGTGTAAGAATTATCGAAAAAAATACTGACTTTTGCGAGATATCGAAAGTCGTGATAGAGCTGGCCAGGGGTTCAATCGGGGTATTCGATATATCGATAGTAAAATGATACGTGACGTAACCATAACCTATTTTGAAAGCAGTTTAAGGTGATTGACGTCTTGATACCACTACACTTTTTCGATATATTGCGATGTATCGCATACCCCGATTGAACCCTGAGAACTTGCAAAGTACAAATGTATATAAGTGTATAATTTCTCATTTCGTGCCGTGTGTTGTGTTGATGGGTAGTTTTTTTTTTTTTTTTTTATCAGCCAAAAATTGTTAGTTAAAGAATCTTTTCGATATACGCCATTCACACGGAGGTAACGGACGACGGGACTGGAGGTGTGTGACTAACATAAGTGGTGAGGTGTGGGAGAGAAAAACTTGTGGGGCCTCATAATCGTTATACCCAATACACATAGCCTGCAACAGAGACTCATCTCTGCCTGCAGGCAAAGCTTAGTCAAGTTGACTAAGTCAACGAACTATGGGGTGCGGACTACGGATCGGACAAAGAATTTTGATTTCCGAGAGATTTGAAAGCGAGCTTGAAAGAGTTTAAAGGGAACTACCTACTGTCGTCACATCCAACGATTATTTTCTTTTCTAGCTACATATGTGTGTCTGTGTGTGAAAAAATAGTGGATAAGTCTCTTAGAGTCTCTAGACTGGATAGACTGTGTACATATTCAATGCATTGTTGACGTTATACTTATACCTATTCTGCTGCATATACTTATCCTGTGTGTGTATACCTCGTGCAGCAGACTCAGTCTCAGCTCAGTCTCTCTGCCTTGGTTGTGCATTACCTTATACTTATTTTTTTGTCCTGCAGTGCAGTGTGTGCTGCGTGCGTGTGTGCATGTATGTGCGCGTGTGCAAAGAGGAGCAGCCCGATCACCCGCACCTTAGCCTTTGGCCTCTTCTCCAGGAACAAACACCAGGCCGGGATCAGCATTTCACGGAGGCGTGGTGGTCACCTGGCGTATATTTTATGTAGGTATAGAAAACGGATCTGCTTACTTACACGCCTTGTTGTTATTTTATTGCAGTGCGGCGTGTGCGCTTTTGTGACTGATTGGTATACCTCTCTGTATATATTATAAAATCTGTGTGTATGAATTTGTACAAGTTTGAGTTGGTGTGTAAGTTTAAGTGAAATCTCATTCCTCCATCCTCCTCAGCACGCAAACACATTATTTTTCTCTCTTTCTTTCTCACTCTCTGCATCTGTGGAAACTTTGCTGTTGAAGCAAACAGTGAGTACTTACCTATCAATGGGTTCGAGTCAAGAGTCAAAAATCTCAAGATCACGTTATTTTTGTTACTGTGCTACCATTTACGAGTCCATGTCATGTGTATTATTGAAGAAGGAATTTAAACATCCGATGACTAATTGTTTCTTGTCAGAGCCATATAGATAGCAGGACGTATCACTAATAGTAAGACCCCAATGAATTAGTAAATGTTAAGGGTCCTCTTATAATCACTTGGTCTGTTTGGCTCAAAGTCCTCAATGGACATTATCTTTAACAAAGCCAGCCAGATAAACATGTCTTTTCTTTTCTGTTGGCATGCTCTCAGTCTTTGGTTTTTGGTGTATGTATAGTAGAGATACACATGTGCATGTGTAGTGTTTGATCATGCAAACATACTAAACTTATTCGCAGACCAATGATTCATAAAAAAAAAAACTAGCATGCAGTATAGTTTTACGATCAATCATTCACTCGTCTCTAGATTCCAAGGTATACTTCAGAACAAAAATTCCAGTTCTCATATTGTCATTATCTTATCTTTGATTTACAATTTCAAAAAGATTTAACAACCTTTCTATCTTGTATTTGGTCCGTCAACCAGCAGTACTTTTCTATACAAAGCAAAGACAAAGAATAACGTTTCTGTGCTCCTGAATATTCGTTCAACATTGATAAACATAGGTTTATCAAAACATGATTCATAACGTTTTTAATGCAAACTTTTAATGATTAAAAAAAATTTTGTTAACATTTTTGTTTTTGTTTATAATGTCATGAATTCTTGATTAATTATGTAAAATTACACAGGGCAAAATCAAGTGTAGTGCAGTACAGTTTTAGCTGATAAATTGTAAAAATGGAAATCGTTAGAGATGAGGACCGACGCAAACGCCTTAAAGCTCTGGAAGAGCGCATCAGAGATCCACGCAGCATTACAAACATTGACTGTCTACTGGACACTGTGCAGGCTCTTGTGGCAGACTGTGATCATCCTACTGTTAAAAGAATGAAAAATGTCGAAGCGTATATGAACAGATGTGAGCATTATTTAAGATCATTATTTTCTTTTATCTATTTTTTTTTTTTTTTAATCACCAAAATATATTTTTCTTCATCATTAAGGTTTTCCTTTTATCAAATATTTAGAGCCTTTGAAAATGACGACCTTTTGATTTTAGATCATTCCATATCTCAAGAAATATGCAACATGAGAATGCGTCCAGACGACTTTAACTCGATTAAAATCATTGGGAGAGGAGCGTTTGGGGAGGTACAGTTGGTGAGGCACAAATCAACGCAGAAAGTCTATGCGATGAAACTCCTGAGTAAATTCGAAATGGTAAATTTTGTCTAGACGTGCAGTTATCGCTATGGAAAATTGTCATTTACCGATTGAAACAAATGATGAATTTAATTTACAGATTAAAAGATCAGATTCTGCATTTTTTTGGGAAGAGCGCGATATTATGGCTCACGCAAATTCGGAGTGGATAGTCCAGCTGCACTTTGCGTTCCAAGACCAAAAGTATCTTTACATGGTAATGGACTACATGCCGGGTGGAGATTTAGTTAATTTAATGTCGCAATACGATGTGCCTGAAAAGTGGGCCATGTTTTATTGTGCTGAAGTGGTGCTCGCGCTCGATGCGATACACAACATGGGGTTTGTTCACCGTGACGTAAAACCAGACAACATGTTGCTTGATAAACACGGTCACTTGAAACTGGCCGATTTCGGCACGTGCATGAAGATGGACAGTGTAAGTCTTGACGTCGTCTCGATTTTTTAATATACTCATTGATTAAACAAACAAAAACTGACATTTCTTAAATACTCCTCCAATAGGATGGTCTTGTGCGTTCTGACACTGCAGTTGGCACGCCAGATTATATTTCTCCCGAAGTTTTGCAGTCTCAAGGTGGTGAGGGAGTTTATGGTCGGGAATGCGATTGGTGGTCAGTGGGTGTCTTTTTGTACGAAATGCTCGTCGGAGATACGCCCTTTTACGCAGATTCGTTGGTCGGCACCTATTCTAAAATCATGGATCATGTCAATTCTCTGCATTTTCCCTCAGAGCTCGACATTTCAAAGTCCGCTAAGAGTTTAATTTGTGGTTTCCTAACCGATCGCAGCAAACGTCTCGGTCGAAATGGTATCGAGGAAATCAAGAAACACGACTTTTTTAAAAACGACCAGTGGACCTTTGACAATTTAAGGGAGTGCATACCACCTGTGGTACCCGAACTGTCTGGTGACGATGACACCAGTAATTTTGACGACGTCGAGAAAGAAGACGGCCCCGAGGAAAATTTTCCTGTACCTAAAGCCTTTTCCGGTAACCATTTGCCTTTTATCGGTTTCACCTACTCTGGAGACTACCGTCTCACTGCAAGTGGTACGTTTTTGTTAACAAAGTTAAAAATTTTTTTTTCCACATTTTGAATAAATAAGTATTGAAATAATTACAAAATTAAATAGTAGGTTGGGAATCTGTAGATGGTCTGGAGAATCATGTTAATAATGGTATGAACGACGACACCAAAATAAATCAGCTCGAGTGTCTTTTGGACAAGGAGAGAAAAACGGTGGAGCTACTTGAAACAAAGCAGAAGCATCTCATTGCACAGTTGGATTCGTTATCTCAAACTGAAACCCTACTGCGAGAAGAAGCTTCTCGCGCCGATAAAGATTTAACTATATTGAGACATAGTTGCAAAGAAGCTCAACGCCGGGTCGATCACGAGACGGAGGCTCGGAGAAAGGCTGAGTCCATGTTGGCTGATCTTAAGAAAAAATTTGAAGAGGAACAGACAAGACGAGCACGAGACGCCAGTACGTCCCATCAGACCACGGAAAAAATCACAAGCCTCGAGAAGCAGATAAAAGAAATGCAAGCAAAGTTAGAACGAGAAACGGAATTGGTGGCACGTCTGAGGAAACAAGTGACGGAGCTGACAGTGGCGAGGCAAACGGCCGAGCAAATGGTCGCTGAGTTACAGCTGGCAAGATCTCAGTTGCTTACTCAGAGAGACTCGCTGCAACAAGAGGTTGCTAATCTTCAAGGGCAACTTTCAAAAGAACGGAGCTCTCGTTCTCAAGCTTCCTCGTTGACCGTAGAGCTCGAGTCTCGGCTAACGTTGCTGCATCAGGAGTTGGATCGCAGTCAGGAACGCGAAGAAAAAGCGACTCTGGACAATAGGCAGCTCAACGAGAGGATATCGACGTTGGAAAAGGAAGCCGCGAGTTTGGCGTTGGAGTTGAAGGCTGCTCAGACCAGGTATAATCAAGAGATTGCCGCGCGACAGGAGATTGAACGCTCTAAAGCGTCGCCCAAGGATGAGGCCAATTTAGAAGACGTAAAAGGTAAGTATTGAAGATGTTTTCATTTAATTTATGAAAATTAACCAAGCATTCTATTATAGCCCTTCAAGTAAAATTAAACGAGGAAAAGAATGGGCGACAACGCGCCGAGCTGTTGGCTCAGGAGAAGGAACGCCAGACCTCGATGCTGTCTGTTGACTACCGTCAAATTCAACAACGACTTCAGAAGCTCGAAGGTGAGCACAGACAAGAGACAGAAAAGGTCAAGGCGTTGCAGGGACAGATTGAGCAAGAACAGCAAAAACGAACTGTCTTACAGTCAGATTTGACTCAACAGTCATCTGAAGTTAGTCGGCTGAAGGCGCGAGAGCAACAGCTACTTGGTCAAGTTACACAGCTACGTGAAGCTAAGCGTCAGATCGAAGATGAGCTGCATCACCTCAAAACTCAGAGAAATGTCGATCAGTTGCAGACTAAGGAACTGCAGGAACAATTGGAAGCTGAAGCATACTTTTCGGCAAGTCTTCATCTTTTTCTTCCCCCTTTATTTATCATATAAAGTTCTTCTTAATTTAAACGAATAAAAATTTTTTTCGGCAAAATAAATTATTATTTTAGATTTTATTTCTTTTCTTTAGACGCTCTACAAGACGCAAACTCAAGAGCTCCGAGAAGAACTCGAAGAAAAATCACGACTTCAGCAAGAACTCGAGGAAGAGCGCAGTTCACTAGTGCACCAACTCCAGTTATCTCTGGCTCGTGGCGATAGTGAAGCCTTGGCTCGTTCGATAGCGGAGGAAACGGTCGCCGATCTTGAGAAAGAACGGACGATGAAAGAGCTCGAGTGTAAAGACATTGTGGCCAAGCATCATCAGGAGCTCAATGCCAAAGAACAATTGATCAATCGCCTAAAGGAAAATGAAGCGGATGCAAATAAGACATGTGATCAATATGCCAAGGTACGCTGATTTTTATCACTTTTATTTATTTATTATTATTTTGTTTTTTTTTCTACACCTTGAATATTGAAACAAGTGTTGACAAGTACGAAATTATCAATGAATGGATTAATTAAAAATTTTCACTAAATTCAAAAGGATAAAGAAGACTTGACGAAGCGAGTGAAGGATTTGCAAGAACAGCTGAATAAATCGCAAATAAACACGGATGAAATCGAAAAATTAAATATGAGGCTACAAACGGAGCAGATGCTGAAAAATCAGGCCATAAATAAGCTTACAGAAATCATGAGCAGGAAAGACTTGGCCATCGGTGGCAAAAGCAAAAACAAAGCCGCTGTGGCAGAACTCAAAAAAAAAGAAAAGGATAACAGGCGACTGCAACAAGAGCTCACGCTCGAAAGGGAGAAATATGGACAACTGGCAATCAAGTTGCAAAAAGATTTGCAAGATATGCAGGTAATAAAGTTTCAGAAAAGTACGTTAATTATCGGATCTGAGGGTTGAAGAAATTTTTATACGCGTGTGTATTTGTTGTTTAATACTTTAGGCACAATTGGTGGAGGAAAACAGAGCGACACTGAGGCTACAAATGGAGCTAGATTGCAAGGATTCGGAAATCGAAACGCTGCAAATGAAGTTGGCGACGATCAATTCGGAGACTGCTAGCGTCTCGTCGGTAGAAATCGATGGCGAGGACTCTGTACTCTCGGATCACGGCACTCACTTGAGATTAGAGGCATGGATGCACGTACCCTCGAAGCAAAATATTAAGCGACACGGTTGGAAAAAGCAATTCGTGAGCGTTTCATCTAAAAAAATATTCTTTTACAACAGCGAAAACGAAAAATGCAATTCAGACCCGGCCCTAATAATAGACCTGAGCAAAGTCTTTCACGTACGGCCTGTTACACAGGGTGACGTGATTCGAGCCGATGCCAAAGACATTCCTAGGATATTTCAGGTATGTTGAACAACAAAATTGAACATTTTTTTTTTCTCATTTCCTCGTATTTAGCTCACGCAATTATTGTTGTTTTGTAAATAGTTACTCTACGCTGGAGAAGGAGAAGCTAGACGGCCAGGTGAAGATCCCTTGCCTGGAACAGAATTGGCACATTTAACCGACAAACCTGGCTTGCAGCCTGTCAAGGGCCACGAGTTTATTTCCATTTCTTATCACATGCCCACAACTTGTGAAATCTGCAACAAGCAAATTTGGAATATGTTTAGGCCTTCTCCAGCCCTCGAGTGCCGACGTAAGTACCATCCTCGTGAATATCACATTTGCACGGACATAAGGTTTTTGTTTCTGAAGTTATTTATATATATATTGATGATAAATCTCTCGTCAGGATGCCATATAAAGGTGCACAAAGAGCACATAGATAAAAAAGAAGACGCCGTAGCTCCATGTAAGCTCAACTATGATCCAAACTGTGCGCGTGAGCTTCTCATTCTTGCACAAACGCCGGAAGAGCAAAAACTGTGGGTCCAAAAGCTGTCACGCAAGCTTCAGAAAGTTGGCTACAAGGCCAACTCGCATATCGACGGTCAGCAGCGAATCTCGCCAAGGTAGCGTAAAAGCAGTTTATTCTGTCAGTACTTTTGGAAAAAGTAATCTTTTTTTTTCCTCATTTATTTCGTTTTATTTTTTGTACGTACGGGGTTAAGTGTAGCGATGCTTACCTGCACCTATGCTGCGATAGCCTCGTGATGAAGCGTATCTTCCACGCTTGTCCGTGATTTTTCTTTTGATTTACTCTTGGAAATTGAATTTTCCATAAAGTTGTGACAAAATTATGTGGTGCATCAATACAGCTGCGCCAAGTTTGAACGTAGCTTGCTTGCTATACTTTTATACAGGTTGCTTTCATTGTTGCCATTGCTTGTTTTAGCACTACCTTCGTCCTTTGGTGTGATGATTGCTAAAAAAGAAAAATACTAATCTTCTTGAAATGCAAAACATCTAACAAACGCACGATTCGCCTTACTTTTTCCAGAGAATCTACGAGATCGTCACTTAAACCGTATCTTTCGGCTCAGCAGAGATCGGCAACTTTACCCGCGAACGCGAGCATGGGTAAGTGACTGGAAACGAGTCGATTAAGAAGTTAGATTTTATGTCCATCAAGACAAAAAAGGGTGTACAAAAAAAAACACAGAAACGAATTATATTTGCCACATGCTGGTCGGCAATCGTCCACTACCACAGCACACGTTTTACCAGCACTTTACAGCCGATACTAACAGCAGCAGCAGCAGCATGGACACACAAACATTCATGCATATATACTGCTGGCCATATTTTTTTTTATCGTTTAATTTTCTTCATCAACGTATACCTATTTTTTTGGTTCTCGCACACTCTCCCGAATGCTTCGAATGCAATGTGCCACATTTGTAACTTTAACGTGCGTAAAACAATCAGTTATAAAACCTTCAAGCAATTGTAAGCGTCCTGTACTCAAAGTAGGCAACTACGTACAAACTTGAAACTCTGTCCCCTTTTATCATATATAAAATTATAGATACGGCAAGTAAAGTCCAATTTTTTGTTGTTGTATGTGATTGTAATTTCCAAATTTTACATCATTAGGATTTAATATCCTAATTATTTTCTAAAATATTAGTTAAAAAATTGTTTGTTATAAAATAAATCGTTTTTTTTTTTTTTTTTAATTTGAACAAAGAATATTACACAGTAGTAAAAATATTTCTGATTGATAACCGGATACAAGTGACGCGAGTGTAATATTATTTTCTTGAGTTTTTAGAAATTTTTATCATCTACAAAAATTGTCGATCAATAACCATGATGACCATTTGGCATCTACTTTGTGACTTGAAAGCCTACTTGCCAAAGTAAAAAATTGCTCGATATTCAAGAAAACAAATTGAAATCGAACGATTGAATTGGAAAAAGTAATCATGATACAATTAATATTAATTTTACGATAGTAAAAAAGTGAAAACGATAAGATAATTTGCAACTGTCATGCGAGAAAAAATCAATTTTGTACATACAAAGCATTAGCAGCTAAATTAAAAGGTTATCGTTCGCAAGTTTATTACAAATATATAAATATTTATTTATTTATATTATACCATTGCAAAAATTTGCCCAGCCTTTATTAATAAATATTCCGAGGCAACAAACGTTTTTGATAAACTCAAAGCCCGACCGTTGTTGTTGCAAATCTTACTGTTTAAAATGCGACGATATTGCATAGTAATAAATTTCGACCAACGACTTTTTTTTGTGAAAGGTTTAAAAACATACATTTTCGAAATATATTAATCATCAATGGTCTTCCTCTCAAAGAATGACGCAAAACTTTTGTAGGAGTTCGAGAAAATGAATCATCGAACCGGTTGAGATACGCTTCAATCAAAATGTAGTAAAGTGAAACAAAAGGATAATTCTCTCGTTTATGTATCTTTTTTCTAAAGTATAATTGACCTGTGTTAGTTTGTCTGTTTGCTCGAAGCAAATTGTACCTTTTAGTTTCCCAATGTAGAGGATGAAAAAAAATCTGGCTAATTTGTAAGTATTATTTTTTACAATTTTTTCCTTGCCAATTAACTGCTAAGCAGTTACGATGCGTTAAAACAATGTGCTTGTTGGCCTTGTTGCAATGTTATTGATACAAAAGTAATCTGAGATGATCTTTTACTAATGTTTTATTCTCTGCTCCCTTTTGTGCAACGCAGTATAATGTAACGAAAAACAAAATTGTGCATTTTTGAAGAAAAATTTAATTTCATCATGTTTAGTTTGTAATGTTATGCTTATTCTAAGACCCGAAAGTTTAAACAAGTTTTTCCTTGATTTTGTTATTAAATGTATACTCGATGTTTGAAATTTTATTCGATTAAAAAAATTTACTCTTTAGCGGTTTTAAGATCTTTATGAAAAAAATAACTTATACAAATATCATTGAACAAAGAGTAATTTTAAATCTAACCAAATAATACGTAAATATTCAAAGAGAGCAATAGAGATCAAACATTACGAAATATCGTTTTCATTGATAAATATATATTTAAAAATTGAAAACTTTTTTTATCAATTAAAAATTTTTTTTTTTTTTATCAACAAATTAACTTTAAATTACATAGTAGCTTAAAATGAATGCGCAACTTGCAACATTTTAAATGTCTGTTATCATAACTTGCAGTTCTACTTTTTGATAAACAAAATGTGCCTAAGCGTTAAAAATCAAAAGCAATAGACTGAACCCTAAGGAATACTAATATTAGACAAATTAGAAATAATAATAAGCCGCATTTAATTTTCTATATAGACAAATGACTCTTGCTGTACGTATAAATATTTTCACGATACGCACAAGTTTCCATGATACATTTGTATTTAAGTAAGAATTAGTTAGTTGAAGCGCAGCTCCACATCTCGTGTCCTAAATTTTTCTCATTAATACTTTTTTTTACTTTTTATGAAATGCGTATTATTTTTTTGACCAAGCAAGAGGCGCGCGCGCATCCGTTAATTGGTGCTTAGCTCCCTATTATTATTCGTTAAAATATATAACATGTAACAAAAATTTCTAATACATATTGAACAGAAAATTTAAAAGGGTACTTCGATTAATCGATTGCCTCTATGTAAGTTATGAAAGGATATAAACTATTTACCTGTGCCTTTTTTGATCTCTCGCGCGCGGTTTACGAGAGTTTTTTCTGGATGTACGTAAACATTTTTATGAAACCTCTTGATAATGAGGGCGATGATGATGATCATGATGATGATGAGCAAAGTGTGTTCCTTTTATACGTGTTTTTGTCGTACGTTTGTGTGAAATGGTCTGCAGCGATAATGCGGCATCAATAGAAATTAAAAAAAAAAAAAAAAAACAAATATCATATTTGCTGCAGAGGGAAAGAAAATGTGAGAGAGAAATGATGAACTAAGTACGAGATATTTGTTACAGCGTATTTTATTATTATTATTGTTTAGTAGTTATTTACAGCCTGTATATTAATAACGATTAAACTATTTTTTAGATAATACCTTAATTGTTTAATATTATTCTCCACCTCTCATAATTTGCATTGCTGCTGTATTCATTTTTTTTTCTGACGGGTCTACAAATGCTCGGTACGCAACTCGGCGTCCAAAACAATTGTTTGGTATTTTAATTCATTAAAATTCACTCCACACACTGTAATAACAAAGACAAAACCTTATCCTTTTTTTTCTTACATCACTATCTAATTTATGATAAAATTATTATCACGGTGAAAGGAAACGAGGTGCATTCTTACGCGAGGGCCAAACGTAGTAATATGAAACCTTCTTGGGATGATGAGAACGAGATCCTGATAATACACGATCCACCTTGTTTCCTTTTACCACGATTATCATGATGATGTGATATGGACTTTAGGTGAGTTCATTTCTATTATTTCTGTATCAAGAAAGCGATGATTTATCTCATCATTGTGTTTTGGGTTTGAAGATAGGACCGCAGCCAAAGGCAGGGGGGAGTTAATATTTCATTCAAATAAATTATGCAACGTGCTTCAGAGCTTTGCTCTGTTCTTTAGTTTTTATAATAAACTAAGCCCTCAAAACACCTTAGGCAGTCCTTATACAATCTCGTAGCCACGGATGCCACTTACAGGGTCTTCTTTGAATAAATTATTTCGATACTCAAAAACTTACTTTGCCGTTTGTCCATCAATGTTTTTATCGACATTTGATGTATCTGTTTATTTATTACTTCAACTTGTCATAAATTATTAAACTGATCCTCTCCACGTCCCTTCAAATCCTAGCTACGGTCCTGTTTGAGCAAATAATAATAAATTTGATAAACCTCGATCGATGAATTTTGCGTTGTGAATTTATTGATTTTCCCAAGTATTTTGTGTACACGCAATGAGGAAAGATGATAAATTCACAATCAACAAAAATAAGTTACACCGATTGTGTCAAGTAAGCGTACTTGCCGGTGGAGATAAAAATACATGTGTATACCGACATATTTGTAAAGTATACTGTTTATTTCGAGGCTAAAAAATAGCGTCCGAGTAAGCCACGGACCATTTTCATTTTGCCGAAAAAATTTTGTCAGTGGGTAGTTGACTGCAGCTATGAAGATTTACAAGACTGCAAAAAGCCAGCTCTTGTTTTCAAAAGGTCGAAGATTTTTCTTACACGTACGCTTACGATTGACCTCTTCGATCGATCGAGGATTTTTTAATATTTTTAATCCATCATTTGATCATAAGTGTATGAGCTTGGAGCCCTTACACTCAGTTTTTAGACCTATTGTACGGTCAGGGACTTGTGCTTTAGTTCATCTCAATCTTTTGATTTTTTCTTTGGTTACTAGTATTCAATCGGTAAAGGACGAGAAGAAAAGGCATCAGTTAAAAAAAAAAAAAAAGTTTTAAGAAATATAAACCGTTACTTGACTTTTTAAATGTGCGAACGTACAAAGTTGGAAAATATTAATTTACGTGCTTTGCAAAGATGTTTCTTCGACTTTTAAAAAGTTCCAACGGTAGTCCAGGCGACATTTTGCGATGCATAATTATCTCATGCATTTATTGTAGTTGATAATCCATTGGCTTTTAACGACTTATGCGTCATGAATTTCAGTTTGAGCCTTGTGTCTTTCAGTTTTATTTTATTGATGAGGCTTTTAAAACCATCAATTTTTTCGACTTTTTTTCATCAGTAGGTGGTACAAATACGCATGTACTTAACGTCCAAAGTAACAAGATTTTTTTTTTTTTTTTTTTTTACACACGCAACAACGGTTTTTTCAAAAAAATTTCACATTTATTATTGTTGTATCATATTTTTTTAAATTTCAACGCGTTAATTACAGATATTTGCCCGTAAATAATTGATTGTTACTGCACTCAAGAGAACGTGAAAATCGAATAATAAATTTTTTTACCTACAGGTATATACATGTATACCGAATGATAGTCTTTTTTTTTTTAAATAAAGTTACTCCATATTGCCACTTTCCAGTATTCTTATTGATGAGTATCAAAATGAATAATCAATATTAAAGATCACGATGATTGGAATTAGCCACGAAAATGTATAATAACATCTTAACATCCATCAGCCAAAAATATGTGTCAAAATTATAATATCATAGTTGACAGAATTAAACTGCTGGTAAAAAATCAATGCCTTATGTACACCACTCGTCATAATGAAAAAGCATCGTTTCAATCTATTTCCACGCGTAACTTAATGATTTTCGTAATTACTTGAATAGTTACTTTATCGAGGAAAAGTTTCAAATGCAAATAAATAACCTTACGAATCTCGTTTTAATTAAACGAACGATTATATGGATGTACAATGGCTAATTGTATAATGCTCTGGACAAATTGCAGTTTTTTAACGAATAGGTGCATCGTGGGGAAAAAACGAGGATTAAAAAATATTGCTAGAACATACATACTTGTTTGTCTCACTACAAGCTCGCTATTATAATACTATATTAATAATGATGCGTCTCAATCGACAGTTTGGAGTAACAATGTAATTGATAATTTACAAGCAAACACTCGGCTCGTTTGAGAACGAAAAAAGTTCACCCAAAGCGATGGAGCTGGAAAAGGATCGGCCCGCTCCTTGTGCTATAAGTATATGTATATATATATATATAATCATAATAATCATAACAATGGTAATGATAATAATAATATTGGCCTCGTATAACAGTCAACAATAACAGATTGGGTAAAATAAACTCGTAAAAATTGCCGAGTAGTTTTAGGATTTGAAGTCATCTTTACGCTGTGAGTTGACGAATTTCGAAGCTACGGGAAATAAGCCATCGGCGCCACCCGTATCTTCATCCACAAAGTATGTAAGTGTACAACAATATTCTAGATTGCGGTAAAAATTGGAAGCTATAATAGAGTCACTCCGCACACTTCAAATCCCAATATATTTATATACTCGAGTACAGTATACATTGTACTTACTTAAACAAAGTTCAAGTTGACTTGAAATGCAATAGTTTTGAAAATGTTTGTAAGTATTTATATGATACATGATTTGTATTAACGTCATAATATCCGAAAAAACGGTAGTAAGAGAGTAAAATGGATTTTTCCCAACACATTTACAAAGGTGTACCTACAACACAACTAACGATTGTACGAAAAACCGACGTTATTGTAGACTCTCTCGTTGCCCTTTTCAAGGTAATCCGAAAAGAAAGGGGGAAAAAAAAAAAAAAAAAACTCAACATACCCACGAGAAAACACTGTATCATACAAATCTCTGTATGCACGAGGTAGGTACATTGTACGAGTAGGGCGCTAAAAAAACGTGGGTTCATCAGCGTCACCTCGAAAAAGGGGAGGGAGTAGGATCGTTTGGGTTTTAAATTTTTGTTGCGTGTGACAGGAAGGTGAGGGCGGCCCGGGCGACGCTGCCCATCTCGTAGTTGACGGCCAGCCGTGGCGACGAGGCGTAAGCTTTGCTCAGCAGCGCCAGGGTTCGGCTTTTGCTGCTCGACGTCTGTGTGTTCGGCTGTTGCTGCTGTTTTTGTTGCTGCTGATCGGCACAAGGCTCCTGAGGATTCTGGCACTTGAGGAAGGACTCCTGCTTGGCACCTCTGTGTGACAGAGCAAACGACACTCATCACTCATCGTCTTGCGGTTTCACATTTTTGTATCATTATTGCAATCACAGAGCTATTTTTTTATACCGAACGACACTTTTTAATAACAATGCTAAAGGGTGAGGTGTAAAAAAAAAAAAACAAATTTTTGAAAACTTTTTCAGCCAATAGGTGGATTCGCAAATGAAAAAAAGGTCTTGTCTCGATTGTATCTTTTTAGGTGAACCTTCAATTTAAAAAATCCAAGTATGCACAAAAGTATATTCATCCTGAATTAACCCGAACGAAATTTTGCACATTGAGAAATATGATGATCGCGACTCGACACAAACTCACAAAATCGCTCAAGTTTGTACCTGTAGGTATAAAAAGCACTTGTGCCGCGTGTGATTTCGTCTTGTTTTTTTTTGTGTTTGTGATGGTCGTGCTGTTGTTAAAATCGAGTTTTCAAACAAGCACAGGTTATACTTGATTATGATGGGGACTTACAGGTATCGGGTCAAATCCTCAACATCGACGAGCATGGAGTCTTGCTCCATGTGAAGGTCGTCTCGGCGCATGAGACCTTCGACCAGGGCATCGTTTAGGGTAGCTATCCTTGCGTGCAGGTCGTTCGCCAAAACTTGAAGCTGGGCGATATTCAACTCGGTGAGCAGAGTGCGCGTCAAGCGACGACGCTCGTCGCCCAACTTTACGCCGATCTGCAACGAGCAAAAAAACACAACATCGTCGTTAATATTTGCAATTATTTGGCATGTTGTTGTCCCAAACGATATTATGTATCACCACGGGTTAATCGGTAGGGATTCACGCTACTGCCGATCCCACCATATACTTGTGTTCAGAGCTGTTCTCGAATCGTACGCAATTCTTTTTTTATCTAAATATTTTAATGTTTATTTTTAATTGTTAATACTACCTAATCAAGTGAATCGTGATTCATTTCGAGCGATTCATGAAAACTTAGCTTTTCGGTTCACCGAATTGAAATCAAATTGATTCTTGAGATTCAGAGGCAAGTCAAGAGTGAAAGCAAAAGTTTTAATTCCCGTTTCGAGTATATTAATTAAAAAACAAATTTTTGATTCAAATAAGACAAATCAAATTTCAACAAATACCATTCTTACCAATACTTATTTCAAAAACATTTTTTTTTTTTTATATCAATAATCAAAGCGGATGGTCAAGAAAAATGTCCACACGCGTGCGTATGTAAATGTTATCAAGTCGTATCACACCAGAATTCCTCTGACCGATTTCGTTCTGTCATTGCTACACTTGTTTTGTTTCCACTTTTGGTAAAAGACACGAAAATATATATATATATAT